ACCCTAAACCCTAAACCTTGAGAACCTTTGGTCTTGGAAGAACTTGTGGTCTTCTAGTCGGAGATGTACACGGCCGACTCACTGGGCTGGTTTCGTTGAAAAACGATCTGAGGATTCTGGCCCTTTGTGTGCCCAACTGCGAGCAACAAGTGTAGACCATTTCTGCCAGCTGAGCAGACGAAACCTATCGTTTGTTAGTCATCTATGCTGCATGCACTGAGGTCTCAAACTGACAATGTCTCCGCAAAAGGCAGAATCTGCAGACTTCAGGTACAAAGTCACGTAACCAGCACCCACTTATAAACCCCCGAGGACACCCAAGAACCCCAATGATCCCTAAATCCCAAAGTAAGCTGCAGGCATAGTAGATTTTGCCGGTGCTCCTGCCCGGATCCACTGCAGAGGGGGGGGGGGGGGGGGGGTCCGACAATTCAACAGGTGGCGGGTGGTCTAGGGTTTCATTTTAGAGTTGTGCAGAGGCTTCGGCAAATGCTGTGGGTGTTTTCTTTAATTCTTTGAGCGGGCCCGGCAAAAACATGTACAGGGTCTCGGAAGGCCTTGATGGGAATTTAGGAGGGTTCGGATGGGTTTACACAGGTTTTATTGTGTGTAGAGTCTATGTTAATGAGGCTTACGTAAACCAAAAAACTTTAATTATGAAGCCTAAACCCGACAGCCCAAACCCCAACACCCGAACTTCGGATTCAGGTCCTACCATAGCCCGCCTTAACCCAGTACTTACAGCTTGACCCTGCAGTAACGGTTACTTTAAAGGGATGTGTCCGGGAACGCTTGGACTCTTAGTCCTTCTCTGGTACCGACAACATTAAGAAATATTGGTTAGTACCTTACCCAGAAGATTCATCCATATCTATTTCCATTATTGAAGTAGGCACCCAGACATATCATCAGCAAAATCTTGAGATCTAATTCCATAAACAGTTACGTATAATCCTGGTAGTACACATTGACTCTCTGTCTGCAAACCTTATGAAACCTCATAAAACCTTCATGAACTTCTCTGGTTTCGGATCCGAGATATCCGAGGTTGGACAAGCTGCTTGAATCCCCGGGCCTAGACTTGCGCATCTCCCAGCCATCCGGCAGCTGTCGTTGCAACGCCTTCGGTTTATATTTAAACCCCCAAAGTGTTGGAAACCGGATTAAGGACAATGAGTGCTGGGAATCCCTATACACTGCTCTTCAGGAAAAAGGCTATTGGGTTTCCAACTTTTAGGCTTCCACTGTAGGGGCTTGCGGGTCTGGAGTTCAGGGTTTAGGATTTGGGTTTAGGACTTAGGGTTTAGGATTCGGGGTTCAGGGCTTATAAGAGGGCCTTTCAGGAGCGCCATGGGGGCTTTGCCAGGCTTGGTGTCTCAAAGCCGCCGGAGCTCTCGTCTCGAGGTTGCACATACAAGGCTTGACTAAACCTTATAAACCCTCGGTTAGGCTGTATAAGGTTTAGGGTTGTGTAGTGGGATTTTAGCGTTTAGGGTCGCGAGCGACTGGGTCTATGGCTGCAGGCGCACGTTTCAGCGCTGCTCAACAGCGTAATATAGGAGCCTCAATAATCCATATCATGTTAGGGGCTCCTTATTATAACTATACTACAAAGGACAGCAAAACCCCTATTTATTCTAATTATTTAAGGCCCCCTAATATTATATTAGAATCCTACACCTCTCCAGGGTGAAGCCCTAGAAGTGCTGAAGCTTCACGCTGAAGTTTTGGGTGTAGATCCCTACTACCCGGAACCCTACACCCTCTTAGGGGCTTACATAAGGAGAGCATGACAAGGAACCCTAAAACTATAAGTATAGTAAGGTCTGAGGGTTCAGGTAGCGCATAGAGGATTAGGCTTTATGGTTTGAGAGGATAACTTGCTCAAGGACATGGTCTTGAAACCAGACGCATTCAGCAATACTGAAGTCTTGAGCACCCAGTGCTCCCCCTCCCCCTTCTCCTTCCCCATATTTCTCTCTGCCCAGGGATGGCACCCCAGTGTGCTTGAACCAGCAAACCAACCAACCAACCTAAAACCAACTGACCAAGTTAAGCACGAACAGCCGAATCCCCCTTGTAATGCCTTGTAAAAAACCGATAGCCTCACATAAAAAAGCTTGAGAAAACCCCCAAGAACGCCCTATGAAGCCCGGAAACCTCTTAAAGCTCTAATCGCTTAACCCGACCTAAACCGCTAGGCCACCAGCTAGCCCATCTAAACCAGCAAAAGTAGGTGAAATAATGGCCCGGCAACTGCACAAGGCTATTATTCTGCGTGCTTTCTGGGTCCAGCTAAGAATCCACCAAACGTAGGCAAAATAAGGCCCTAAACCCTAAACCCTAAATAAGGGTACCTGCGTGACAGCCGCAGGCCCTGTCACTTGCGTGGGTGCCGCAGGCTTCCTGGGAAGGGCGCCGGGCTAGCGCTTTTGTCAAAGGGTTTTGGTTTACCTGGACCCCAAAGAACCTACCTTTATTTAAGGACTAGTATAAAGATATAAGAATAAGGAACCCTAAAAAGGAAGGTTCTTAAGGGTCCAGGTTAGGGGCTTAGAGTTTCCGGGCTCGTGTGGCTCTTGTTTAGGGCTTGGGGGCTTGGGCTTTGTAAGATGTAGGGTTTAGGGCCTGCGCTTTGGGGGTTTAGGGCTTGGCACCGGATTCCGGGGTCTTCTTGCTTAAGGGGAATACAGCGGCTTGAGGCCTGAAGCCTTGAAGCATTTAGGGACGGTCAAGGCTTAGGATGCCTTCTTGCTCAGGGCCTTCTACGGCTGAAGAAGGCACCCTTGGGAGTTCGGCTTTAGTCTGTATTTAGGGGTAAGGGTTCGTTAGTGCAGCTTATGGGCTTTATTTGGCTTTGGGCTTTCGGGTTCTGGATGTGGGAACAAGGCCTTCCTGTTTTTAAGGGTGGTGTTGGGTGGAGTCAGAGGTGTGATCACTGGATGCTAGACCCTAAACCCAAGATGTGTAGTAGATTCACAGCCGTGTCGACCAAAGGAGGCATGGGAGGCGTCGTCGAGGTCCCTAGTTCTGCGACCTCAATACACCCTCCAGCAACCCAAAGTTTAGGTTTAGGTTAGGCTTGAACTTGCAGTGGAAGCCAGAAAGCTGGAACATCATCATGCGAATGCGCTTAAAGCAACGTACAGGGAAATCAAGCTTCAGTCATCCCTGGACCCTCCGCCCTAATCATCCCTGAACCATGCTACCGCTTCCTTGAGTTCATTTCAACTTTGAACTCTGGTCGTGGCCCTGAACTAAACCCTAAATCCGAAGCCCCAGACCCAAAGTCCTAATCCTCAAAACCCTCCGGCAACAATGCTCTAGGCTAGCCGCTCCGCCGCTGGCTTCTCCTGTCGCAAAGCATTAACGTGAGAGAGGGTAAGGGTTTAGGGTTTAGGGTTTAGGGTTTGGGGTTGAGATACGACCCCGAGATGCTTCTGACGTAGGGTTTAGTGTTTAGTGGTAGCCTGAGCCGCACTTCAACCCCGATTCCAAGCACTCAAACTACCTAAAATCTTCGGGTTTAGAGGGGCAGGGATCGACCTGAACTCGCCAGGCAGAGGGAGAGCAAGTCTTCTTGGGTCCCTCACCATCCCAGCTGCTTGCGGGAAGTTCGCTGCTGAGAGATTTAGATATCAAGATTCCTGTGAGCTCGAACTTGAAGTCAGCTTTGTGGTAGGGTTGCTTATGGTTGCGTCAGATTACATGGTTTCGGCATTCATGCACAGCTAAAAATGAGCTGTGACACCATTAAGTTAAACGCTTTATAACTTATAGACCCTTAAACCTCAACCCAAAACCCTAAACTCTAAACACCCTACTAAACCCTAAACAGCCTAACCCTAAGCAGCCGTTGATGGCTGATGGCTGGCCCCTAAACCCTACACCCTTCGCTGGTGTTCCCCTTTATATAGGGGACCTTCAATAATTAGAATAGTGTTTTGGGGTCCAGTAGACTATACTTATTATAAGGAACCCCCCCAAACAAATATAGGTAATTTAATTATTGAGGCCCCTATAGTGAGCTATCAGAGTCTGCGGGCACATGCCCAGGGCTTATCTGCCATGCCCTAATTAGGGTTTAGGGTTTAGGGGCTTAGGGTTTTAGGGTTTAGGGTATTACAAGATTCGGGCATCTGGGGTGTGAAGCTCTAGATGTGTAGGGTTTGGGACTTGGGACTCTGGGCGTGGGATTTGGGAGTTTCAGTTTAGGGCTCGATTAATCCCTGCAGGGTTGTGCAGTTCAGGAATTAGGGCTTTGAATATGCAGGCTGTGGTAAGATGTACATGAACATGTCAATGCCTGTGGGGGTTAGGTGCTCAAACCGTTCGAGAGCCAGGAAGACAAAGGTGCCGGGACACCTTCGGCGCAATCGTCATGGCGTCATACCCTGAAGCTCGGGCTCGCGAAGGTTTACAGCTTTTTGGGGGTTTAGTGTGCTGAGTGCTGAGTTCGTAACAGAGTCTAGGGATGCCGGTTCGGCTTGACGCTAGAGGACTTGTCATCTCACGTAGAGGTTTGGGCTTAAGGTCATGAAGTTCTGGGGCCTTGGACTCATGCAGTTCGCTGGAAGTCTGGGTTTCGGTCTCCAAGGTGTTGCCGAAGGGGCTTGAACATTGTGGGTAGCTTACCAACATTTGCAGACAGTCTCAACCGGTCATGATGGTCATAATGTGGTGAGAGCTGTTTCCCACGGTGATGATGATCATGATGACGACGACGAGGACACGAAGGAGAGGGATGATCCGAGCCATTCGCAAATATGTCCTGATAGCAGCAGTGATGACATGGGACTGCTCAGGTCAGACACAACCCGACAGGCTGAGCCTCTTCGAATTCGTTGCAATTCACAATTCACAGCAGACAGGGCGTAAAATCATCCCCTCCCATCCTGCACCCAGATTCTTCGCCAAGCAATATGCAAAGCCCACGGTACAATGCGCCGCCGAAGAGAAGGGGTCTCAGTTTCCCGTTTTGCGTGAGAGAACGAGCTCCGAGATCAAAAAATCGAAAGAGAGAACGCTAATCGTTGAACCCTTTCTAAGACCTTGAGGCCCTACCAAACTAAAATCTTAAATGACAGTGAAACCGTGCAACCACAAAACCAACCCCAGACCAGGACAATTCCAGAACCCAAGACAAGCTCGAGACAGCAATTGACAAACCTTTGACCGCCCATTGTATACTACGTTATCTAGACTCTGAATTACAGCACCGCTTGTTGGATAACCGGCTTTATGGCTAGGATCCAATACTTAGTCGGAAAGGTCCTGCAATGCAAGTCCCTAAATGCAGGACGCGAAGCCCTACACCCTAGCCTGAAATAAGCTGTAAATGGTGGGTTTAGGCACAAAGTGTGCCCTGAAGCTCATTGATCCTTGCGGTAGAGGTGCCTGAGTAGACCGTGACAGCGCCGCCGGTCTTGATGGATTTGTTGGACGCCTTGCTGACAGATCTTTCTGCCTCTCTTTATTTTTCTCTCTTGCTCTCTCTATCTGCCTGTGTATATATATATATATACATACACTTCCGTATGTAGACATAGCATACGACATCTGCCTGTATTTTGCATATTCACACATGTCTGTATGCTCATACATACACACAAACTTCTATGCCCCGGTTTAGGGTTAATAACCATCTTCAGGGGTGTTTCCATCCAGGTTTAGGGTCCACTGCGGCTTCTGGATCTTTGCTACCTGTGTGAGAGGCAGTGTACACATGTATGACGACGATAGGTACTGACGACATAATACAGTTGTCGGGCAACAGACTGGCATGACTAGAGGCCGAAAAGCCCTAAACCCTAAACCCTAAAGTAGGGTGTAGGGTTTAGGGTTAAAAGGTGCCCGAGGTAGCTGGGGTGTGGAATTCCCGATACGACCGCTCCTACAGGTGGCCCAGGGTCACCGGACATACTCACATACGAGTTGCCGAACCCTCTTTTGGCTTCCTGTGACTAAAACGTTAGAGGTGGGGGCGTGCCGAAAACCGTGAAGGGTAGGGTTTAGGGTTAGGGTTTGTTGGATGCAGGGCTTGGATTTTGGCTTTTAGGCTGAAGGAGTTTGCAATTCAGCTTTCAAATGCTTCAAGGGTTCAGCATTCGGTTTAGCGAGGCGTATGCGTCGCTGGGTGTGAATGTCGTTGGCCCTACCTATAGTCTCCATTGTAGTGTAGTTCCTTTTTTTGGTTTAACCAATTTTCTATTAAGGATTTTATAAGGTATCCCCAACAAGGAACTACAATGGAGAGTATAGGTAATGTAGACCCGACTCGCGATTTATCAACCTGGTGCCCTGAACGGGATTCTTCCCCATGGGTCTACATTGCGCCCTGCAACCTGAATTACCAAGCAACCCGCCCCCCACTGGCCCACCCAAAAGCAGCCAAATTAACCCAGCGCAGGCACAAAACAGGCGCCTCCCATGATTAGCGTAGGGTTTTGGGGGGCGCATATTATCCGCGATTACTTGTGTAGTTAAGGAACCCCCTAGCAACAATATGACTAAACATTCTTTCAGGCACCAAAAGTAAGCCAAAGTATCCTTGCACCGAGGCAGTCGCCAGCCCCTCGACTCCTTTCTTTCGCTTCTTGACCTCGCCCAGCGGTGGTCAGGAGTTTCGAAGAATCCGGTTTAGGGAAGGGCTCCGCCGAACCCCTCAAACTCAAAGCCCAATTCAACCGTAACATCCCATTAAACCGTGAAGCCCAAACCATCAAACTCAAACACCCTCATCACCCGGTAAGCGTGCAACATAAGTACACAACAAAAGAGCGGAAAAAAAGCAAAAACCCATGGTGACAAATGAACCTTCTAAGCCCCAGACCCCAAGACCCTAAAACCCGAAGCCCTAAACCCCTAAACCGAAAAAAAACTGGGCCCTAAACCCAAAAGCAACAAAGCTGACTCCAGCCTCCGGCTTCGCTGCTGGTCCCTTCGGGGGTGAGCCGGGTGGTGCCTGCAGGAATCGAGCCCCAGAAGACGGTTACCTGGACCCCAAAAGTATGTAGAAGAAGATGCCCGGGGACCATTATATAATATGTCACCTGCTTTGGGGGGTGAAGGTAAGGCTTAGGGTTTTGGGTTTAGGTTTAGGGTGTAGGGCCGATGCATGCAGAGTTTAGGCTGTAGAGTTTAGAGTTTAGCATTCAGGGCTTCGGGCTTAGAAGCCAGAAGCTATAGGGCTTGAAAGGAGGACTTCTGGTGTGTGGTGCTCGGCTTCAGGATTTGGGGTCTTTAGGGCTGCAAGGCTTGAAGTTTCGAAGATTCGGGTAGGCTTTGGTGCTTGTGGCCCGGGCTCTTGGGACGGAGGCTGTAGGCTGGGTGTGGAAAGTTCGGGAGTCAGGTTTGGGCTAGTTTTGAGAGTTTAGGACCTTAGACCAATGGGCGAGCCTTTCTTTACTTTACCTGTCCTGATTGGCTGATCCCCAGCCACCTAGGAGTAAGAGAGCTCCCTTTTTGCTAATGGGTAGTTTTATAAGGAACTGACCACACAGAAAGGGAACAAGGGGCCCAATTGAATTGGAGACCTACCCTAAACCCGAAACCCCTAAGCCCAAACCTTAATCCAAAACCCCCAAACCCCTAAACCTTAAACTCCAAGCAAAAGCACTAAACCCCTAAACCCTAAACTCTAAACTCAGCCCTTGCCAGGCAAGCCCTGAGCCGCCTGTGCTGGCAGAGAGTCGCCCGGTCCAGACCTCAGAAGTTTCGCCCACAAACCCAAACCCCCAAACCCCTAAGGGTTTTGTTTAGGGCTTTAGGGCTCTGGGGTTCAGGGGTTTAGGGGTTTTGGGTTTAGGGTCTAGGGTTTTGGGTTTAGGGCTTAAGGGTTTAGGGTTCAGGGTACACCTAGGGGTCCATTCACACAAACAGTATAGACTTTGGCCTCAGGCCAACGTAGGAGTACCGAGGCTACCACTGTTCTAAGGACTAGTAGTAGCAAGTACTCAGACCCTGATACTGCCAGGGCCCCAAAAGGTATGCTTGACACAAGCCTTCGTCCTGACGACAGATAGCGGCTGACAGCTAGAATTTCAGTCCGAGAACAGCTGGCCTCTCACAATAATTTACGAGTCTAGGTTTCCGGAGTTGGGCTTTGGGTTTAAGTCTCAGGATTTGGAGGTCTAGATTGTAGGTCTTGCTATATAGCCCAAAGAATAACCAAACCTCGGACCTCTGAACCGCGCACAGTGCTGAGGCCCCGACCCAAGCGGACCATCCTCAGCAGAAGGTGATCATGCACAGAGGATCTTCGATGCTTATGGAGCTGCATAGGTGTTGTGGGACCCCATCCAACCAACTGTCGTAAAAGTTGGCATTTTTGGTTTTGTGTGATCCTTGCCTGTAGGGTCGCGGAGTGCACCCTGGAACTCGTGTCTCAAACTTGTAATCGTTCCTCGGGGCCTTAGGCAATCCAGAACAAGTAGATTAGTGGTGTCGGGCGTATTTGTACTATAGCCATCAAGTGACCATGACTGATGGCGGGTATTTATCACTAGCCCTCTCACTACCTCGGGTCCATAAGCCCTGAAGTGAAAGGTGAAGAACCCCACCTCTACAACCCAATCCCCCTCTCAAGAATGAACTGTAGGTGCCTAAATAGTTACCAATACTATTTTGGGGGTTCCTTATTATAATTATAGTGGAATGGGCCCCAAAACCCTATTCTAATTATGAAGGCCCCTATATTAAGTAAGACAGCCTGATGGGGTTGCCCCTGGCTGCAGATGCATGGCGTGGAGGTGTAGGGACTTCCGCATGCAGATTCGCAAACACGCTTATATCAGGGGTTTAGGGCTTAGGGCATCCAGATTCTAGAACACCGAGACCCTGACCCAGGCATGACTCGAACAACTCCAAGCGTTAGTATAGCGGCCGTATTATTTAGAAGAGGGTTTCGAGGTATCTTACATTCGAGTACCAAGACAAACCAACCGAGCCCCATACCCCACAAGACGTCTTGTTATTGACCTATGACTCTGGACAACCATGATCGAGACCCCATAACTTAAGCCGAAATGTAAATCTCACCTTCTACGACCCCTGCTCTAGACCCTAGTGGGAGCTTCAGGACTGCGATGCATTCTATGAAGAGATGCGGCTTAGGATGCCGGTGCTTGCGGTCATTGTCCATCTTACCCTCTTCTAATTATGAAGGCCCCTATACAAGCTTTTTCGGGAAGGGCTGTCTATGAAGGATTCCAGGGCTTTAGGACTCTACCTATAGTCTCCATTGTAGTTCCTTCTTTTCGTTTATCCAATTTTTATATTTAGGATCCTATAAGGTCACCCCAAAAAAGGCATTACAATGGAGACTATAGGTAGGTTCCAGTTTAGGGTTTACGGTGCAAGGGCTTCAGGTTTCGGGTGCGGATGTGTTGACAAGTTCCGGGTCCAGGTTGGGAGCTGGGGTTGCTTGCTCATGAAGGGGCCTTAATAATTAGGGTTTCGGGGCGCATTATACTACAGTTATTATACGGAACCCCCAAAATAATATAGGTAATTATTTAGGCCGCTACATTATGCAAGTCTGACGTACCCGAAAATGGAACAGGGCCATGTTGAACCAAATGTTTCGGGCTTTGGGACCGGGTTTGGGGTTTAGGTTGCCGGTTTCCCATGTGCGATGGTGCAATCAATATGGGACTTAGTTGAGGTTACCATAACACGGATCTATAGTAAATAGTAGGGTTCCTTATTTAGTATGGTTCCTTTTTTAGTATGGTAACATAAACTAAGTTCCTGAACAAGAACCCAGATGTTCATCGGTGCTTTCTGTGCCACGTGGCCGGTCCCAGCTCGGCTTGACTACTGGTGTCGGGGCGGACTCTTCATATGGCGGTCTGAACAATAGAAAAGCCATCTCCCTGGAGTCTCTGTATCTTGTCGGATAATATACTATACCCCAACACCCTCTTCTAACTATGAAAGCCCCCTGCATGATGCAACGGAGCAGCTGACACAGACGCTAGAACGTCGAGATGGACTCGACTTGCAGCGAGAAACTTCCTTCTCGAAAATTGGGGTTCAATGCCCCATCATAGCTAAACTTGCTCAGAGTTAGCTGTACAGCCGTGAGCTGCTTGGTGTTAAAAGTCTGGCCGGGAACTGTCCTGGCGAAAAGAGTCGGAACAAAGTCTTTGAAAGGCGCATTGGCCTCCACTATGCCGTCAAGAGAGGGGATGAGGCTCTGCGTGTCGAACTCGTAGCTCCAAGCAATCCTGGGCGACTGTAGGAACTCAACCCGAAACCCCCAATGAGCTCCAACACTAGCCCTCGGTAAACCCTTAATCAATCCCGAATCCAGCTAGCAGGCGCTGCTCGAAAAAGTTGCGTATTGAACTACTTTCGGGGTACATGCACATGCGTGCCCGAAAATCCAAGATACCAGTGCCCACCTATCCGCAAAGCCATACTTGAAATGATGCTTAGGCTTGTTACCGGTTTGCGACCTAAACGCAGCTTCGTGAGACTTGAGGGGAAGTCCAGGGGCCTCTTCGGGGTCGTACTGGAGGCATGGCCATCTCGTCTAAGCAAGTTCCCTTGCTCCGAGAAGCCCATTCCAGTCGTAAGAGTCTCGGATGATAAGCTTGAAGCGCTGGCCGTCGCCGCCTTCGTGCGCACGCCACGAGGGCTGAGGGTATTAATGCAGCAAGCACCCAAATCGAGCTCTACGCTTTGAGGGTTTAGGGTTTCGGGTGCCGCAGTCTGAACGGGGCTTGCCATCACATCCGGTCCTCGTGCCGCACTTAAACACAAAGGCGACTGCACATAGGATCACATATGCATGTATAGCTATTCACCACCCGGATGTCCAGACAGATGTCGGGCAATTCTTACGAAATTGGCCTCCTGCTTGCAGCAGGTGCACGGTTTAAGGTTTCGGGTGTGTTCGGGTACAGAGTTTCAGTTGTCCTTGCGTGGGGTCCGAAACTGTCATCAACCAATGTCCAAGTGAGGGTTCCTACAAGGGTTATAGCAAGCCCCTACAGCAGTGTTCAAAGTGCCCAAACTGATGCAGAGAATTTCAGAGTGTAAACTTACAGGGCCAGGAAGCCCACATTGTCTTTTTGGGTACCCGGACCCTCTAGCCAGGGATCGCAGAAACCTCTTAAACCTTATAAACCCTGACACTAGACCCTAAACCTGAAAAAATATAAACCTTACTTAAACCCTAAACCCTAAAAACCCTCAAATGAGGCTACGCCCCCGCCCCTTCGAATGCGGAGCCTTTCACCCGGACGCGGAGTCCGGAGCAGCCGCTCACGTCGAAAGCAGGCCTCAAGCTTTATAGTAGGTTTAGGGTTATTAGTTATTGGGATTTAGGGTTTAGGGTTTAGGGTTATTAGGGTGAAGGGTTTCGGGTTTATGGTTGGGGTTTAGTGGAAGCCAGAAAGTCGGACCATTATGGTCCTCATACCCTTAAGGTTAAGTATCAGGGATCCTAGCACTAATCCTCCTAAAGCCATGTTCCAACTTTCTGGGCTTCGCTGTAGGGTTCATGAGAGCTGTAAGGGATATCTTGAGATCATGGGGGTTTAGGACTTTAAGAATTGTTGTGTTCGGGACTTCAGGGTCTTAGGATGTAGGCCCCATGAAGTGAAAAGAGTGATATGACCGTAATTTAACTCTTGCAGGGTCCCTAATATCCTATACGATGCTTGAGATCCAAGCCTCCAAAAACTCCCGCCAAAGATTTCTATTTAGTAGGGATTAGTACTAATAATAGTAATAATCACAGTAATAATAATGATCGTCATCATCATAGTCAAAATGATAGTAATCATAATTATAATACTTAGCGAACGGAGTCGGAGTTTGGCAAACAGGTCCCCTTGGACCCTAGCTGTCGGATCTTGGTGGGACACGCATCAAAGTTTTTTCCGGGTGCAGTGACATCTCGATATGTGGAATTTACTGCAAAATCGGGTCCTGTTACAAAGTCCGGCTTGCTGATTATCTCGTTTGACCCGTAAAGATAGGACTTGTCGAGAGAGCCTTACAAGCTCTGAAGGGAATCTCTAAATTTTCATGATACTCCCGACATGCTGAAAAGAGTGTTCTCTCGTCGAACGTTCCCAAAAACTTTTAAGATTCACTCATCAATACTCTGCGGAGCCCGAAAACACTTACCAAGACCCGAGGAGACACCGTACATCCTGCGCAGTCAAGGCGCTTGAAGGGCTGAGTCCGGATGCCAGCAAAGCCTCCGCCTTCTGTGATAATTGTGCCTGTCCAAGTCGTACCTGCACTTCAAGGGGGTAGGGCTTTAGGGTTTTAGGGTTTTAGGGTTTAGGGTTTAGGGTTTAGGAGTACGACACACGCCCTAAACTCCCTAAAATTCTAAAAGGGCCCTCCGCTTCAAGGATTTGGGTTCAGGGGTCAGGCCTTCCGCTCAAGACTGGGAGGGGGCAGTAGGAGCAGCTGCAGCAAAAAGGTAACCTCCATCAGCTTTACCTGTAACCCTGCATGAGTACTGTATGACCGACTTACTATGCCACATGCAAGCCCCTGATGCCCTGACTATCCATTTTGATGAACCCTGGTATAAGCCCTTATGACACGCAAAGTCAAAACCCCACAGAACCCCTTGCGCAGAAACGGAATACAACAACCCAATTCAAAAACTTAAGCCCTTCTACATACCCTGTGAAAACCCCGGGCAACCCTCAAAAGTAATCCTACGAAGCCCTGTCAAAAGCCTATGACCAAAACGTTCTGATCAAGCGCTTCCGGAGCAGACGCCTTGTAGGGCAGACTCTGATGCACCTCTGCAGACTGGGTTCCGAGGGGCCTGGAGGCCGGCTTTTACAAGTCAGGTCTCATGAGGAGGTCGTTGGGCCGTAGGGTTTTATAAGGGGGTCATAATAAGCGGTTCTTCTACAAAAACGGGTTTCATAGGGAGTTCGCACGGATTTTGTCAAAGGGGTCTGTTTTACGGGAATGCCTTGAGGATTTAGAGTGTGGGTTGGGTTTCAAGGCTTAGCGGCGGGGTTCAGGGATTCATTAGGTCTTAGTCTTCGTGGTCTGTCTTCCCCTCAACCCTAAACCCTAAACCCTAAACCCTAAACCCTAAACCCTAAACCCTAAACCCTAGGATCGGGATCTCGGGCCTAGATTGTATGGTTTTTGGGGGGGGTTCGATTAACCAAGGTTTAGGGATGCCTGGGGCTCCGCTCTCGCCAGAAATTCACCGACAAGTTTCATGTGGGTCTGTGGCCTAGCAACCTGCTGAGAAGGAGAAGCTTTGTAACTATCTACTAGAAGCCTGAGGTTTAGATGCTGAGCCTTCTTCCGAAGCATCAACGTTGAACCGGAAACTGCCGGGACTACCTCGTAAACCTATGCGTATGCGATTCCGACAACCCCTTGACCCTTACACCCCCGGCCCCCCAGCTTCAAACTCGAATACCTATCCTTAGCCCCGAACCGTCGGCCTCCCATCACCACATCATCCAGCGTGCCCCAGACGAGATCCAGCGGGTTCTCTTCAGACCACAGGACCTTTACAAATAGCTTGGGTGCAGGGATCCATATGCAGGTCGTCTACGGACGGGGTTTGCTGTGGTCTGACAGATTGTCGGGGACATGCAGCGGCTGTCTTGTAACCGACAGGCACTACTGCTGGTAATGTAATGTAATGTAATGTAATGTAATGTAATGTAATGTAATGTAATGTAATGTAATGTATTGTAATGTAATGTAATGTAATGTAATGTAATGTAATGTAATGCATGCATG